TTTTTTGCAGCAACATGGATGGAGCTGGAAAAGATCATGCTTAGTGAAATAAGCCAGAAAGAAAAGGAAAAATACCCGATGATTTCTCTCATAGCAGGAATATAATGGAACAGGTGAGAAAATAATGATAATGATGAACAGCTACACACCAGAGACATTTTGTGGGGGTAGAGTGGGGAATGGGATCAAAAACGGGCGGGGGGGAGGGAAAGGCACTGGACTATGGTGATGGCACATGGGTGATTTGTTGATGGGAAACCCAAGTGGACTGCAACTGAGATGGGAAAATGCACAAATATTTGTACAAATAAATTATAAAATAAAATTTTAAAAGAACAACAAAAAAGAATGCTGTTTGAGGGCCTTCTCTGGTGGCACAATGGATTAAAGTGCAAAGTGCAGCACTATGAAACTAGCTGTAGCTGCTTCAGCATGAGTTTGACCCCAGGCCAGATAGGTGACCCACTCAGGTCAGGGCGTAGCAGACCTCTCCTGTCTTGCCCACTGTTCCCCTCAGCAGTGTAGTTCACCGCTCTGCCTGTTCTGCTCCCCACTCTGTCCCTGGTGAATCCTCTCACTGTTCCTGCACCTCTGGCCTGTACCCCAGTTCTGTATGCATAAATAAATAAATAAATCTTTTAAAAAATCAGGAAAAAAGAGAAGAATGCAGTTTAAGAATCACTGATTCAGCTGTAACATTTTTGTGGCAAATTTACTTTCTAGTTTTCAATGGGAAACACTCCCAAAACTTCAACTCACTCACCTTTCCAGTCAGTAGACCAGAACAGACTACTACTTTCTAGATTTGGGAGTCAATAATTATGTATGCCTATAATGCTATATTTTTCTTTTCCCTAGAGGGCAAAAAAAGACCTTAAAAAACAAAACAAAACTAACATCACCACTTTTATTACTATTATCCTAATCATAATTCCTATTGGAGCAAATATTGTTATGTACTGTATAAGCATTCAGCAAATAGCAAAAACCATAAAAGGCATTTATATTATTTGAGCTGTTTCAAATACAATGGAAAGTAAAATCATTTACTAATATCATTTCTGGAGTAACTATTTTCATGTACCTATGTGTTACAAGATAAATGCCTCAAAAACTCAGGAACGATATCTGAAATTTGGTATACCTGCAATATCACAACACTAATAAAAAACACAAAACCCACTTTTCAATGAAGATAATTTCTGCTTGAAAGAGAAAAAAATGCCAGCAATAATTTCAGGCCTTAAAAGGACATGGTAATGTGGGCCCTCCCTGGTGGCACAGGGTAATAAAGTACAGCACTGAGAACTAAAGCCACTTCAGCATGATACTGGTCAGAGGATAAAACTTGATCCTACTCAAATCTAAAAATAATTTCCTTAATTTATAACATTAAATATTAACTTACTGACTCTTGCTAATTTTATTTTTCCCTCTCTCACTAAATGCATTAATAATTTTTCTCAAAAAAATGCTTTGAATTTCCTACATAAGCAAATATTTCTAAACAGTGAATTCTTTTTGAAAAGAACACTTCACAAATATATATTCAAATCAAATAGATAAGAAATACACGTGGCAAATCATAATTAAAAAGTGAGATCCCACAAACAGTTATGAGGTTGAACTCACAGCAGCCTCACCTGTACTTTCATGAGCAGTCAAACATTTCATCCATTTCTTTTTCCCCAGAGAAAAGAAGCATTCAGAAGAAAAGCAAGTCAGATGATAGTCTAACTCCTCTAACCTTTATTTACGCAACTAACAGAATAAATGATTATCAAATACAGATTTATGAAAAGTATGGGAAATACTTACCTGGACTTGAAGACTCAACAGATGGCTATGGGAGAGGAGGGAGGAAAAAAGAAAAATTAGCATCTTCCAGTAGTAAATCTTTGTAAACATTACAGTATTATTCAATGACTGATATGAAACCAAACTATACAGTAAGTTTTAATGTCTGCATTATCTAAGACAAACTAAAACTTTGTCTGGACAGTATTTAAGCATAGAGAAAAATTCAAAACCCTCTTCAAATCTAGAAACAGAGACAATAATATGGGATGGATACAGATTTTAAAGGCAAATATAGATCCTGTAACATATTAAGAAATATGATTTTAGATCTTTAAATATTTTCTATCAAAACAGGGAAAATGATGCACAAGGTCTGCTAATAAGTTGGTCTCTGGCTTTAAATGTGTGTGAGAATGAGGGGGAAACAATATAAGACATTATTTTGAATAAAAATTATATTGTAAGAAAGCAGAAGAAAAATATTAAAATGTTATTTAAGCGCCAAATAGTATACTGGGTTAACTTTCTTAACAAACAACATGCTTTTAAAGGATCACAGAATTAGCAACCTTGAAAGTTATCCTAGAAAAATTATCTTATGGAAGATCACAAAAATCTCCTTCAATTGTACTCCTGTAACTCTCTGAAATTTAACTACAAGTACTTAAAAATTTTACAATTAAACTTGTTAGTATCTTGCCTGAGTAATATTACCACTTGACAGTTTTCCTCAACTCACAATTATAAACAAGTTAATAACAAACTCCTGTTAAGACAAATACAATAACAAAACTTCCAAAGAGCTTCCCAATGACATAAACTTTTATAACTAAAATTTTGATATTCACTCAGAGCTATCTTTATCATGTCCATTAGAACTCAGAGAGACTAGAAGACTGAAAGCACTCAGAAAGAGAAAGACTTCTGATAGTTTTCTTCTTTCTGGTTAATTAAGGGGCAGGGAGGATAGTAATAAAACAGAGATAAAAAATGACCACTTTTTCAATGCTAAATATCTAAGACAAGATTTTATAAGGTGTAAAAACAAAACAAAAAAAAAACCCCAAAACTCTCATTCTCAAAACTGTCCACATTATGTCACTGTAATTCTAGATTCCAAAAAAATACTATAGGTTCTTCCCCAAAATACGATAGGTTCTTTTGAGGCAAAATTTTCAAGTGTTCCATCTTATTTTTTAAATTCTTTTAAAAGTCTGCTACTTGCTTACAGCATTCTTATTCTAATAAAAGAATGATGGTACTCAGTTACATATTTTCAGGTGTCACACTGCTTCTATATTTAAGATAATCTGCCAGAACAAAGTCAATACAGCACTACATTTTAATTCAGTTTTTCTAATGGGGACGCCGGAGCGACACATTTGACTCAAAATGGATTTATTAACTACTACACAAATTATTACACAGCAAATCAACACCTCAACATATTAACCCAAGTTATTACACAGCAAATCAACACCTCAACATATTAACTCGTATTTCATAAAGTCACAATCCATTCCCCAAGTTCAAGTACAACCTGTCTAAAGCTACAGAATGTTAATAACTATTTACATATGGTCCTAGGTTCAATAACCACAAAGTAGCCTTATAATTCTGTTTTTCCTTCCTCATTTATTTCTGACACAGGTTTGCATGATGTAAACAAGAAAAAAAAAAGAGCCAGCATTTTTTCAATTTAGGAGCTAAAATAAGTGGCTTTCATCATTTAGTTCTTTCTGAACATTATAATTATTCTATTAAGCCTGCTGATAAAATGGCTTTTGATTAAAAATGTCATTCTACTAAATGAAAGGTACATTTTTACTAATGTGAGATACAATAAGATACTGAATTGTGGTTTTGTATAAAAAGAATCTAAAAACACTAAATACCACTTAAATACAGTACTGTGTTCTTTTACTAGTATAGCTATCACTATAAAGTTCTGAAAAAGGTCCCAAATATTTCCCACTCATTAAGATGTAAAATATCTTAGACTGGTAGCACTTGTAAGTATAGCTGGCACAAAGTATAATAACCAGTTCTTAAAGATACCATTAATAGTTTTATCACATCAGACATACTAGAATGTTTCAGGAATCATGATTTAACTAACAGTATATTTAGACTAGGATGGGATGGAGAGCCTGGGCATAGTTTGCCCACAAATACGCATTTTGACATTTCATGTTCAAAAAAAATCCACTTAATTGATTTGGGGAGGTTTGAGTAAGATCAGTTTCTTCAAAGTTAATCATATCCAAATAGATTAAAGCTTTTGAAAAACAGTTCAAATAGTAAACATCACTGCCTGAAAAACAAAATCATTCTCTCTCTTTAAAAAATAGCAGAATGAGCTTACATTTATATGATTATTTCTAAATGCACATTTACTTGATGATCATCAGAACCTGGCAATATTCTCTGCCACACCTATCTCATTTTTATAGGTTACCAAACTCAAGAGCTACAATGCCTTGATGATGTTTCCACGGTAAGGTGATAAAGGTGAAAATAAGTCTAGAATCTGATTCCTTCTGCAAGCCTCAAGGACACAACTATGTAAAAAGAAATTTTCTCTCTACTTCTCTCATCCTTCCCCCTTCATTTGTCTTTCTTTAAAAAATGGTTTTCATGTGTTCCAAGCATGTTCAAAATACAACTACAAGCTGTCATCATTCAAGACAGACAATAATCTATGTCTAACAATACCCGCTCTAAGAAAATTTGCAATATTTACCAGCATTACTTATAGAACACTGCAAAGAGGGAAGAAAAATAAAAAGAAACCTAAACAGGTACTTCTTTGTAAAAGAATTTTAGAAAAGCTCAAATGATAAAATGTCATAGAAAAGATTTTACAATGGGTGTTAAACCTACTTAAAATGTACTCCCAAGCAATGGAACACTATTAAATCCATTAAAAAGAGTGCGATCTGTTCGTGCTAAGAAAAAAGTGCTTGATAGAAACAGGTAGGTAGGTAGTATAAAAAGTACAGAGTATTAAATTGGATTGGAATACACATAAAAGAATTCTCCCCAAAAGAGTATAGAAAAATTTGTTAACAGTTACCTGTAGGAGAGGAAAAAAGGCAGGACAGGTAACCGAGGAACAGCACAACATTAACAATGTATTCTTGTAGAACAACTAAAATGTGCAAAAGGAGAAGAGGGGATTGTTGGAACATTATATGGTTGAGGGGTTGCAGGAGTGGAAGAGGAGGATCACCAGGCTCTGTTGTATGCATTAAATAAACAAAACAGAACAGTAATTACCTCCAGGGAATGGGTTGGGGAAATTTATAACTTTCTATACATTTGGAATTTTCTAACCACTTGCATATATTTACTCTTTGCTTCTTAGAAATAATGTGTAGAATTATAAACCATTTTCATTTTCTTTCTATATTTTTAAACTTTTCTTAAAAAACCTAGCACTAGTTACTTTTTTTTTAAACAAAACTACAATTTTGAAAAATTGCCCAGTTTTCTTTTAGGTACATGCATTGCTGGTTTATTGGAGATGGAAAGTATTAATACTGGATAGATAACACAGAGTTACCGGTGGGCTAAGATAAGTCTAAAAATTAACTGCTAGCTTTATAGCAACTTTCAAACCTTCAAATGATTTGGCTAATAAAGTTGCAATAGCTGTTAGAAATACACAATTAGCTGTTAGAAATACACAAATGTTGCTATAGCTGTTAGAAATATACAAATACTCTGATTTGTTCAGGGTTTCCTTTTATATTTTTCTAGAATACAGTGAGAAATATTCCATATACCAGAAAACTATTCATTGGAAGAGTAAAAGATCAACTAACTAGAATACTACCATTATTTGTAAGTCATTAAAAACATGATACAACCATTTGACTCCTATTAAAGGCAATCAAAAGTATATTTTTAGTGCGTACAACCAAACTAAATTTTTCTCTCAAATTACTGTCAGTATTTCATTAAGTGTAACCACCACTAGTTAGTAGACACTTATCCAGAAATTTAAATGAGGATGTGGCTAGAAGCCACAAAGAATTAGGGGTGCTACTCCAGAGTGAAGAAAGATAGGAGACTGAGCCAAGAGCTCACCATCCCTCTTTTTCCATACAAAATTAAATCACTTAACTTTCTGTTACCCCGAGGAATTGTAAGGCATAAAAAAGATTAAGAGTTTAAATTAGCAAATTTACTACAGTAATAATAATGCAGAGAATGAACTGCTATTATTAACAACTAGGAATTCAGAAGTTCAGGTTCCGGTCTTAACTGTGGCACAGATTTATTGTACAACCTAGGACAAATCTCAAACTCTCTGCTCAGTTTCATTTTCTCTATGATGAAAAGATGCAGATATTTTCATGTTTGTTCAGTTTCCTTTAAAATCTAAATTTTTTACTTTTATTATGTATTATTGCAAACCATATCACAGTACAAAAGAGTACTTAGCACTAAGGGTTTATTTAATAAACCCTTCCAAAAAAATTTTTTAATATAGGCCTATTAGGAAAAGATCTCAATTTACAAGAAGCATTTTGGGGTGATACTTTAATGAATTTCCTATACAAAAAGCATAGTAACAGTCAATAATTCTTCTAAGCCACATAATAAGGCAAACAGAATGGATCCCAAACAAATACTGATACTTGGACAATTTAATCACTGCAATGAATTTTGAAGCCGTTCACAAATCTTTTCTGAGATATACATGATATCAATCTGAACTTCATGTAAGAAATTTCCACATAGTTGATTACTTTCCATAAAGACAAGCTAAAGTTTCAATGGCAGTGTTTTATTTCTAAATTATTTGGGAAACTGGTCTCACTTACATGAATTATCTAAAAATAGTTCACTATTTCTGCCACCAGCCTTTCCTACCTACACAGGCACATTTACTCTCTGAATTAACTAGCTTCTTAAGGCTCATGTATTGGTATTCTTGACTGCTTTGGATAAAACCTTAACAGCTTTAAATAATAAATATATTTTAAAAAAATTCATTACCAGTATACATAATTAAGGCCTAAATTCACTACAGTGAAAGTAAGTTTTAGTAAGTATAGAGTAGACATTCAAGATGATCCTACTTCCTTAAAAAAAAAAAAAGTCTGATTTTAAGACAAATAAATTTGATAGTGAATAAATTATCATTTTCAGAAATAGTAAAAAACACTAACTCAGAGAGGGGAATTCATTAATTTTGTTCTATGTATGACAACAACATAGCCGTGATGAAAAGATAGATTTTGCAGTATGCTATGGCTTTTTTGCCTTGAGAAGAAAATTTCGTATGTGTTTACAAACAGTGAAATAAAAGACAAATTGTTCATTCCCAAAGGCCCCTATACCACATTCCATACAAAACCCAAAGGATCAACTATTTCTTCCTCTTATCATTCCTCTCTGCCTTTGTAAAACTGTGACTACCCTATAATTTCCTTCCTTTAAGTGTGACTAGGAGAACCTCTTTTTAGACTGTTGATAAATAATTTTAAAGGATAATGAGCAATGCAAAGTATTATCAAAGTATTAAAAAAGGGAGCATATGCTACTTCTTTTAAGTATATTAAACATTATTTTTAATGTAACCACCACTTGAAGAACCATTAAATATATACTGCTATTACAGATTACCTAAGATAATTAGATCAATGAAAAATCATTTTATTCTCTTCACATCTACAGCAATTTGTATTCAAGAATTAGAATTTTTCTAGAAAAACCAGGTCAGGGTCATTTTCCTATGTAGGAAACAACAATATAAAAAAAAAACCCAGAAGCCTAACACCTACATTTTTCTCTAGAGACAGACTTCCTCAATGACCTGTTTTCCCCTCAGAATTATCAAATAAATGCATATTGTTGCTTTGAACTTACTGTTATTTAATCCTAAAGTCTACATAACAAAAAGTTCAACAGAAAAACATGAGAATTATTTTAGCAAATGCTTTATTTTGGTATCATGAAGAATAAATCTCCAAAGCTCATACAAAAGTAAAAGAACTGTAAAACATTTCTCCATCTAATATTCTGAAATGCCTCATCTCCAAATTCATTCTAATTACTAAAGTATTATGCTCAGAAAATTAGAATTAATTTTACTTTTCACCTCTTGACCCAGTTTAACTTCTACAACAGTTAAAAGTTGGTCCTGCCATTCTTCCTCAATTCCACTGTAAATAAAACTATCTACAAGTAATGGAAGAATATAAAAAATGAATTATTTGAAAATATTAGGCCACTAAATACTATACAAACAAAATTGAGACTTTTTCTTCTTGAAACTTGTCACCCAGACCTTCCTACAGAATGAGTATTTAATTCTCCAACTGACTAAGGAACATATACTTGAAAACATTAGATGATTCATGATTCAAAACTACTGGTCTCTCATATCATTGTAACCATAACCACCATTAATTTCTAAAACAAGAAATAAAATATTAATATATTTCATTTACATATTAATTTTTCAGTGTGTTGCACAGTTGAAAGTTCTGGATGAAGTTATTTTAAAAAAAACTTAATAATAATTTTCACTGTATGTTCATACAGCAAGCTATTTTCCTTCCATAATACTTTCCTTAAAATATGGCTGCAAACTTTAGCTCAGGCCATTGCAAGCAGCACCAGGAGAGAAGAAACTACAATAACCTATTGTAGAGTACCATTGCTTATCTAATGGGCATTCACTGAAAGGAGAATTCACTAAAGACAATGTGAAAAAATACATGTAAGTCCAGCTATATACAAACTTACAAATGAAGAAACAAAAATCTCACTAAGGACTAAAAATCTTTCAGTCCAGTGCAGTAAATCCATCCACACTCAAGTGAAATCCAAAATACTCTATTTTCTCCAACTCATGTGCCCCGATATACAATTCTTGAACCAGAAGGGGGAAAATGTAAATAAATATATGATCTAAATTTAGTTTTAAATCAGAAAGAGAAAATGTTCAAAAACGCATATTAGCAGTAAACAATCCCGGTACAGTAAAGCCTCTTCTTTCAACAAATACTCCAGAACATAAATTCAAGGCCAGTTTCCATAAGGGAATTAGAGGAGCACCCTAAAAGTTAACCCATAAAAGTTAACAGGTACCGTCAATCAACAGACAAATAGAAAGGCCTCTGTATTAATAATTTTCCAAAAACCAATCATATTTCAGTATCCCAAGATTTAAAAAGAAGATAGTATGGGGTTGACTACCTAACATTGACTTCATGTAGCAAAAAATGAAGTCTGAGACTTAAATTGGGGGCGGAATGCTAAATAAAATTACCTACTTCCTGAATCTGTTTTTAGGTGCCTCTGAGACCATGAAAGTACAAAAGCACAAAAGAAAAATGCCTTATCTATCACTTAAGGCTGCCTTATTTCAAAGGAGGCATGAAAGTCCAAATACATTACCTATTAAACCCTAAGGGGTAAAGAATAACGAAATTCTTGAGGATAAGGGAGGGAAAATTTTTTAAACACCCCCCCCCAAACTTCAAAAGTTTAAAGGTTTTAATCACACGCACATGTTTAAATCTCTAGTAGCAAATAATAAATTCGAATTTATCAGAAGTTATTTCTTGCCCACAGATTAGAGGCCCCAAAAATTACCACCAAAGAAAGAGAACTTTGGGAAGTCGTTTACTAGAAAAACAGCAGAGAGAAAAAAATATATTACCCAAGGAAGAAAATATTAAGAAAAAAACAAGGATAGCCTTCAATTGGAGGGAGGAGTAAAAGCCTGGAATGTAAAGGAGGTAAAGATAAAAATTTAGCAACTCTTCTGGGGTAGATGAAACTATTTGGAGAAATGGGAGAGTCCGCCAACCCACAGGGCCGAATTTCAAAAGGCTAAGTTCAGTTCTTCACTCATCTTATCAACATCAAGAAAATTACAGTGCTCAAGAAAGGCCATTCTGACTACGTTTTACCCCCCAGGCTGGATGTCAGAGGCAAACGGGTGGGGGTGACGCGGAAGGGCGCAACAGCATCTCCATTAGAAGACAAGAAACTTCGCAAGAGGAGGAAGCGGCAGCTCTTCTCTTGGCCCCTACTACCCTCTGGCGAAGTTGCGCCACCAGTGCTCCAGCCCAGCGGGACCCCCCCTCACCCTACTCAGCACGCAGAATCACGCCGCACGGACCCTTCAAACTACCCCTAAGTCCAACTACGCCTCCGCTTCCTCCTACCCACCCCCACCTCCCCAACCCATCCCAACTAAGTTCCAGGGAAAGCTCCCGTCCAGAGCGAGGCCTGCTCCGGACAACAGGTGGGCAGTGGCGCCAGCAAGCTGGGCCTGTCCTAGCCAGGCCCATTCCACTCCTCCCCGGCCAGGGCCCGGGCCGCCAGGCTCCGGGACGGGGAGGGGGAGCTCGCTCCCTTACCTCCGCCATATTTGCCGTACTGACGGGTCACATCTCCGCGGCCGCCGCAGCTGGGTCACCGCCAGAACCCGGATGTGAGACTCAGCAACGGGACTCCTGTCGCCGCTGCTGCCGCCTCCGCCGCTCCAGCCTCCACTGCCTCGGCGGGAACGCGCAAGAGCCGCCCGAACGCGCCCACCACACCCCACTCCGCCCCCTCGCGGCGCCCGGGCTGAGCTGGACTGGAGGGAAAGGCTGACGCGCGCGCGGGAAGAGGGACGCGCGCAGCCCCGCGACAGCCCTCCCAGGGAAGAGCGCTGAGGGGGCGGAGCCAGGGGGCGGTGAGGCGGGCACCTCAGCACCCGGCCCCTCCCTTGTCCTAAAAGCTCTGAGACTCCACCAGGGCAGAGGAGTCCAGGGAGCAGAGGTCAAGGAGAGGTGGCAATCCACTCACATCTTAGCAGTTATATCATTGGGGTTTTAAAATACGTTCTATTTTACTGTAGGCCTTTTCTGAAGTGCATTTGCTGGAAAACGGATGTTGTGATGCAAACAACACCAACTAGTGAGCTTTGAAAGCAGTTATCCCTAGATAGATTTCTCAGTTCACTGCTGACTGGAATGCAAAATCCCATATCCCAAATTCTTAGAATTTAGAAGGGATTAAATGGACTTCGTTAGGTAGTATGCCACCCTCATATCTCATTTGTGCTTCCTCACATACATTCTGTGATATCAATAACAACATAACTGTGCAAGGGTTGAATTTTGCACAACTAGGATAAATTTCTAAAATACAACATACTGAAAAGCTGCTTGTTGATGGCTATAAATAATCTGATTTGACTGCAGGGAGAACCTGCTCATTTGCAATGCCTGAATTGCCAACAATTTGAGTTTAATGTATGAGCCTAGACCTGCCAATTGGCCTTAATGTCAATTCTGATTGCCAGAGCCAATAACTGGAAATTAATAAGCATGTTTGACTTACATAATTTAAGGCAGACACTGGCTAATGCAAAGGTGATATTAAAATGGGCACTAACATAGTTTACTAAACAAGGAGTCTAAGTCTTAAAAAAGATCGTTTTCCCCTCAAATGTTCAAGGTTTCCTCATAATGCAATTTCAAAAATGCCTATCAAAATCAACCAGTTAAATAAGAATTAAGCATTCCCTCCAAATGCGTTTGCACTACAATACTGCATAAATGTGTACGTATACAATATTTCTCAAATACATAACTTACAATGCAGAAAGGGGTAAGCAGTTTTCTTAACTTGTGTTTTCTTTGAATTCTAGTCTCTCATCAACTAGTTGACTAGTTCCAAAAATCCAACATTACTTGAAATTCTTATGTCCAATAATAATTTGTGCATGAATAAACTGCATTTACAGGTAAATGAAGTAGCTGCTAAGTGAAAGGACATTACCTGGTAATTTGACAGGAAAAGAGTCCACAGACAGTCTGTAAACCAATTAAACATAAACATCTGATGCACATTTTCTACTGAAAGAAAAGCAAGGGAAAGAAGAGAAAGGAAAACTTTAAGGTTCCCAAATCTACAAACAATTTTTACCATCAACTGTATTGTACAGTATTTTCATTTTATTTTTTAGACTACTTATATAAATGTGTTTTTCAGGACTCCTCAGGGGAATAAATATTTGAGCACAGGTTATCCTGTTGAATTACCTTAGTCCTTTGGGCTTGACAGAAAAATGACTATAAAAAGTCATTTGCTACTCAAATAGTTTTCACTTTGCTATGTTTTATGAAAATAGTTGAAGGCAAAAAACAGTGGATGTACCCATACCTAAGGTGGCCAAGAATTTAAAAAAGGGTCCAGATATCAAAACTCAGGCTTTATAACATGGTGGAAATAAAGGCAGATTTTCCATTTAAATGCAAAAACAAATATATGTAATTAAACTGGTTACCAAAGGAAAATTTTAAGTGTCACAATGGAAGACACAGGAATAACTTGCTTGCGTAAGGCCATAAATGTTTGATTCTTCAGTTAAAACATCAACAAAAATCCCAATTGTAATCAAGACCTGGGACTCACAATGCCTTAAGCTACTGAATAAATACTGAAATTGTCAAGAAAACTGAGACATTATATAGGTGGGTATCCATCTTTCTAATTAATGACTTAATTTTAATACTATGTATCAATATTAAAGAGTTTTATGTGGCATTATCCTTTTGGGAGGGATTATCCTCTACACCTTTCTCTATCTCCCCTTTTTTTTTTAAAGATTTATTTATCTATTCGTACAGAACTAGGGTATAGGCCAGAGATGGCTGGAGAGTGAGAGGATCCACCACAGACAGAGTGGGGTCTCTACCCCCTTTTTTAATCAGTGATTTTTTTTTCAGTTCAGCTGTTCTAATGGTAAAGAAAAATAATTCCAATACTGTAAGTCACTGAATTCATTACTAGTGAATTCAATATAGTTCTGCTCCTATTTTATTCTAGTAGCATACTAATCTAAAAATTTTAGAAGCTACTATAAGAAAAGCAAAGTCTTAAAACTCTTGCTTACCCTCTTCAGTATCAAATATGTAATAATTATTCATTGGTCACAGAATTTTAGTGTTGGGTGGGACCTTAGAGGTCTCTAGTCAATTTCTTACACTGTCTAAATAGAATCCCTCATATTTCTCCTCTACCAAGCTTTTCTACATATGCAAATCTCCAGTGACTCATGATTTGTCATGAAGAGATTGTCCTTATCCCCAAATTTTAAAACACTTTTCTCTTTAGTAAACCAGAATCTATCTCCTTGTTACTTCCACCCTGCAGAACACCCCTAAATTCTTCAGCACTCTGGATTAATTTAACAGTTGCCTTCTTTGTAATCAAATGCCAAGAGTCAATATTGATACTTGGATTAACAATAAATCTTTAAAGCCTACTGAGACTAGAAGAGCTGAAAATAGGATAAGACAGAGTTAAAGGCATGAGAAAATTCAAAACTATGGCCTATTTAAAATTAGTACAGTGTATAGAATTTATTAATGTGATATCAAAAATGGCAGTTCTGTTAAAATTATATAGCAAAGTTTTTAAGCTAAAAATGTGGTTAATTCCAAATTTGTGAGGTGTGTGGTTAATGTCTCAAAAAAAAAAATCACTATACAAAGCCTGAATAATGCCTCTTTAGTATCCATCCCAGAGGTTTCCTTATTTTCAGGTAAATATTAGCATTTACCATATAATGCTACTCAAAATTGCAATTCTATTGGGAAATTATTTTTAACCAGTTAACTGAATACTCCATTAAGAAGTTATTAAACATTTTTATAGAACCTATACTACACATGCACACACACACTCACACACACTCAATTATATTTTAGCTGTTAATGAGGCATTTTAACATCACAATTTTACTTCAACCAGTACCTTAAACAAACCAATAAACTTCTTTGGCAATTTACATATACCTAAGAAATAGAACCACTGGTTGATTGGTATTCTGTACCAACACCTGATTAAAAAAAAGGTAATATATACCTAAATCATATACACATATCTGTTATGCAATTCAAAGATACCTCTCAAAATATACCAAGAAAATACTTATAAAAATTTAGATGCTGGGGCCTTTTGAAATTAATAGAGCACATTCAAACCCATAAAAATAAATTCTATACCTGACAATTTTTAGAGTGCTTAAGTTTTCCCATTATTTAATCAGTTATTTCCTAAAATTTTTATTTAAAGTGACAACCTATACTGTATCGTAATGATACACAGGTAAAACTTTATGAGTAATGACTGATTTGTTTGAGAATACCTAAATTACAAAAATACTTAACCAATTTTTAAAATAACATTTTAGATCAACTAAGAGTTTTCCTTTACTTTGCAGGCAGAAGCAATTACAAAGGAGCAAGGCATTACATTTGGAATTCCCACAACTATGCAACAATCAACATATTTTTGTTAGTTTGATTTTTATTACTAATACAACCCAAAAACACTTAAATCGCCTGTTGTTTCTCCAGTTTTTGATTTTCTTTTCATAATTTTTACATAAAGAATTTTATCAAGCAGCCCCATTTTATGAACTGGTAATTTGTAATTCTTACATTGTTGACATGTTATTTTTATCTCACCCACACTCTGGAAATTATTGGCCCATCAGCAGTTCTCATACACTGGAACATATAAGAAGAGTAATATATTTATATATGAGGGAGTTTGGATTTTCCCTCCCTCAGTCTCCAAGTGTGCCCCTGCCTACCAGCATCACATCCGTCTTGTCTGCATTGAACCTCAACCAGTTGGTTCTTAACCACGTCCGAAACTCAGCCAGGCACTGGGAGAATCGAGCCACCACACCATCTGGATCAAAGGAAAGAGAGCCTCAGTAGCAACGAGACTAGAGACCACGAAACCACAAGCTCACCGTTCATCCTGTCTAGTTATTTAAAAGATGGCTAGGTATTAAGCCGAGGACACTATAATTATTTCTGAAAAACGAGAGAATACATGAGTTTTGCAATTTGTAACTGATAATGAATGTATAAAAGCGACCCAATTAATAGGCTACCTCATTCCACTAGATTGAAGAAAAGATTCAACTCCTAGTCATCTCGGCTAAGCGGCCTCATTAGACCGGCTGGTCTTGCATATGCTTTTCTGCAGAATTAAGAGTTTTAGCATTGGAAGAAGCTTTAGGACTAACTGAAGCACTGAGAGAAGTAGTGACTCGCCCAAGGTCACAAAGCAAGCGAAAATCAGATGTACTCCAGGCCACAGATCTTTCCTCCACAAAGCTGGAACAAGGCCCTTCAAAATGGGGGGTAGGGTATCTGTCCCCCCGGGATCCTCCCACGGGCTGGGAGGACTTCTTCCCCTCACGATAATGCCCTCTTCGAGTCTCTCTCCCCTCCCTCACTCCCACTGAAAGGGGCCAGTTTGCCAGAGACCCTGCTCACCACAGAGGCTGCAGTGCAAGCAGAAGCGTCCCAGGGCGGGGACAGAACCAGCAGCTACCGGGGAAAGAGGCGGAGCCACAGGGGTGTAGTCAACTTAGCCCCACCCCAACTGGGTTCGAGGGCAGACAGGAGAAAGGGGCGGAAGCGAACAGGCCAAGGCGAACTCACTACGCAGCGGATTCCCAGCGCGCCGTGGACGCCGGGGAAGATCCGTGCCGCCGCCGCCAGCGCCGCCACCAAAGCAAAAGAAGGGATCGGGCAAGGGTGGGCGGTGGAGTGGGCCTGGGCATGCGCCCTGGTCGTCCTGCGCCCCTCCGGGCGGAGAAGCCAACAGCCCCTCCCCGGAAGTTAAGGGTCTTCCGGGCGGTACTCTGTGGTGGGGGAGGGGAAAGGGTGAAGGGGGACGAGGACGCCTCAGGAGCCCCTTATCCCAAACAGGACTAGGAGAAGAGAGATGGCTTACGGAGGCTGCACTTACAGCCGCTGCCGCCGCCGCCGCCGCCTCCTCCGCTGCTGCCGCCACCGCCTGAAGAAGCCCCATCCATCCGCCTGCAGCCAGGGAGACTCAGAACCTGGGAGGGGCCTGGGGCCTGGGCCGCCCGCCTCCTTTTTCTAGTCGTCGTCCTGAGCTTCCTCTTGCTCCACCAACCCTCTGCCCTCCCCTCCGCCTCCGCCCTCCTCCTCGGCCTCCAGCCGCCAGCCAACCGCACGGGCTCTTGTTGAGCCCGAGCTCTACCGTCTCCATGACGCCTGGCAAACATTCCCCAGCTTCTGCCTGCTCCTCTAACGCCGGGCGTTGGGGTACAGGAGCTCCAGACCACTTCCCAGACAGTCGCCACCATGCCCATCTCTCCGGCAAACAGCCGCAAGCAGCCGAACCCCGGGGTGTAAGTTCTGATGCTAAAACTATACATAGTCCATTCTCCTGGATCCTGGAAGCAGCCTTTTAGATCCTATCTCTTACTGCATCTGGGTTTAATCAGCAGCCCTCGAAGCTCCCAGGCAGCAATGTCTCATTCCTTGACTTAGACAGCCTATTTCAAGTCCCCACCGCTGTGCTAACTGAGTAAATACCTAGATTGTTGAAACCATTCTTCCTCCTGGTTCTCTTTCTACACCTATTCCCACCCCCACCAGCTCTGTTCTGTAGTTTCTAGCTTGTTGCCTCACTGCTGTGTCCATAAACATTCAGTTCTCTGGTTTCTGTGATCGACCATTCTGAACAGTAAATCGTCCTGTACACACTTTTTTCGTGCCTCCGCTTTCCATCCTGCCTTGAAACTTATGTCAGATTATAGCATTCTACTGTTCGTACAACAGTTCAACGAGCGGCAGGGAGAAAGCGCACAGTTCTGTTAGTTTGTCTCACTCATAAGATGGTCCGTTACTATTGCCCAACAGTTTCATTAAAGTTCCCTAATTGATTCACTCTGCCACACCTTCAGACCACTTTTTTTTTTCCTGTCAAAACTTCAACATCCCTCCATCTCTTCCACTCAGCTACTCTTTCTTTTTTTATATAATAATTTATTTTTACATATTTTTGTGAATTTTTCCATCTCAGTTGCAATCCACTTGGATTTCCCATCACCAGTTCACACTTGTGCCCTCACCATAGTCCAGTGCATCTCCCCACCGTTTTTGATCCCATTCACCGCTCCACCCCCAAAAAATGTCTCTGGTATATAGCTATTCATCATTATCATTATTTTCTCGCCTGTTCTGTTATATTCCTGCTATGAGAGAAGCCATCCAGTATTTTTCTTTTTCTTTCTGGCTTATTTCACTAAGCATGACCTTTTCCAGCTCCATCCATGTTGCTGAGCTACTCTTTCTTAAGCAAAACTTGTTGACAGTTCTTGGGAGAAAACCTAACCTCCCATTTTAAATCTGGTATTGTGGTTTTTTTCCAGCCCGTCCCACCAATCCATCAAAATCACTTTTCTGAAGGCCAACAATAGCCTTCCTACCAAATGCAATGACACTGCTGTTTTGTGCCTAACAGATCAGGATGTGATTGCTATTGAAAAAATACTTTATTCCTTTATTCATTATTATTCATTTTGCCAAGAAGAGAGGCCATACTAGGCCAAATGGGGAAGCAGTGGGCTTTGACTACCAAGCAGAGGGATAGTTGTGAGCAAAAATGTTTAGGTAGAATTGGAAGGAACAAGAAAAACAGGGTAAAGCGTCTTAGGATTGCCTAGTTTGGAAAAGTTCAGTCTGTTCTGGAGCATAAGGGTCATCTCTGGTATCTGCTGGTAGAGTGATACTAGCCCAGTATGAAAACCTGCTAAGGGAGGTGGCTAGAAGTATGGACTCGGTAGGGGGTGGGGGACAAAAAGAGGCAAGAAGTCAAGCAAGGTGACTTGAGCATATCAGATTGTTCAAAACAAGACATGTCAGGTCTATACATGCAGGGCAGATGTTAAAGCATCAACTTTACTGAAGCTAGAAACATGGTTAATACACAGGTGCGGGATCAAAGTAAGAAGATAATTGGATTTAATCAAGGTTTTGGTCCTGCCAGAAAATAAAGTAAATTTAAAGAAGGGAAAAAAGGGGAGGGGGAGCTAAGAGTATAAATACTGAGTCATTATAATAATTAACTATGGATTATATTAATTAACCTTAAACTTAAGAGAGAAGAGATGGCATGAGAAGAGTGGGTAAGGAAGTAAAATGTAGAATCAAGGAGTTAAAGATCATAAACGAAAGATGCTTGAAGTTAAGAGTGTAAGAAAACTAGGAAGTGATAGTTGATTTAAGGACATATGTATGAATATAGAAATAAGTAGCTTATGTACTGAGATCATTTATATGAGAAGACTTCAAGAAACTAAAAGGCCATGGTATTCGAAGGATTATCTTCATATGAAAATACTTGGGGGCATGGCAGACCTCTCCTAACCCATCCACTGCTCCCCTCAGCAGTGTACTTCGTCAGTTGTCAGTCTGCCTGTTCTGTTCCCTGCTCTGTCTCTGGTGAATCCTCTCACTGCCCCTGCACCCCTGGCCTGTACCTGGTTCTGTATGCATAAATAAATAAATGTTTAAAAAAATACTTGGGAATTATGTAAGGAGAGAGTGATTTAGTATATAAAATCTTAGGAGATAGGACAGGGAGATGTGATGTTATGATAGAAGACTCCTGTAAGGAAGAAGAATGTAAGTAGTCATTTAAATTACAGGTTTTGTGAATTTACTTGAGAGCATCATATATATTGTTATGTTATGAAAACATAACAGATTTGGACCTAAGAATAATCTTCAAAAAGGGTACTGATAAAATGAGAGGATTTGGATTTTGTAAAAAAATAGTAGTGGCAAAAAGGGAGAGAAAAATTAAGAGTTCAATAAAATGATAAAAGTAGCTCAATTGATTTGTGAATTCTGGATTAGAGAATGGAAAAAAAACCTAAAGGATACTAATTATTTGACAGAAAATAGAAGGATCTGGTGTGTGGTAAAGAATGGGAGCTAATGATATCCTAGAAACAATTTAAGAGTCCAATTTTAAGAATGGAAATGGTCAACTCTCAGTTGCTACAAAGATAAGTACTGGTAAGAGTCCTTAATAAATATCTAAATTAAGGATTTTTAAGGGGAGGGAATGACTGGAACATAATTAATATGCCCAAAGGGAAGTGACAGGCACTAGATGTAGGAGACAGAGTTATTTATAGGGAAGAATCAGAAAACAGAAAAAGATAAAAACTAAAGGAAAGGGGCCACAGTAGGATACTCCAGAGGGGGTTAAATTAGAAAATATCTGTGAATGGAGTTCATTAATAAAAGATTAAGCTTTTACAATATACTGAACACTGTTCTGGGTGCTAGGAATATAGCAAAATACAAGACAAAGCTCTTACATAAAAATTCTGAGATTCATGAAGAATGGGCAGTAACAAAAAGGTCTAGTAATAATTGCTGTGAAGAAAAATAAAATATGGAACATAGATTGATGTCATTTAAAAATATAGGTTTTATTATTGCTGGTCTTTGAAAAGTAAGTATTAAAAATGTTTTCTTTGAAAATTTATTCCTTTTTATCTAAAAAGAAGAACACCCTCATCTTGCTATAGGAACATTGGCTTTGGGCCAAAGAAGTCTATTAGTGAATCCACAGTACACTCAGAGCATTGGAACATATAACTGATAAGGCAGATTTTTCTCTTAAGGGATTTACAGAGTAGATACAAAATGAAATCGTATTTTTTATTCTGGATATGTACATTTTTTATGATAATTTCTTATCAAGTATTATCTAATTTTTCAGACAGGGCTATGATATTTTTTCTTTCAGTATTATTACTCATCCATCAACCTAGGTGCATTCAACATTTATTTGTGTTTCCTAAGTGCCCAACACCTGTTAAATGTAATATGTAGATTAAATCATTTAAGTCTTTTAATAACCTATGTATTAGCTTCTATTACTATCTCTTACATTACAAGTGAAAAAAACAGACCCAGAGAAATCAGTGTAGGCTTTGGATATATCTGCCTGGGTTCAAATCTCACCTTTAGCAGGAATGGTTTTTTTGGTAAGCCTGTGTGCTTTTGCATAAAATAACATTAATGGCCATCTGTTATGAGTTGTTGTGAGGAAAAAATGACATAACGTGTGTTTTTGGAACTGTGTTTATACATTATGAACTCATAAGTAGTTATTTCTTATTTACATGTTTAGACTTTCATGTTTCTAAATGAACACCTGCTTTTGGTTCATTTCCTTTAATACTAGATTGTTTGTATTGTTGACTTGTCTTGCTATAGGAACATTGGCTTTGGGCCAAAGAAGTCTATTAGCTTTTTAAAACCAATAAAAGCATCTCCATCAAAAGCATATCCCGGTGCATACCAAAGCAAAATGGGTATGTCAAGAAATATGATTCTACCAGAAACAAAACCAGTAGAAAAACTGAATATTTCCACCCCAAGGACAGTCATACAGGTAATATTCTTTAGAATTCTAAATTTATTTGAAAATAATCCATGAAAAATGTTAAACATAGAAAATAGGTTGCTTTGTAATTATGCACATCCAAGTGTTGAAATAGTGATTTTGTTATTTTTACTATATAACATAGCTAACTAATTTTGGCAGCTTATATTAAAGAAATACCACTAATTTAAAACCCTTCTTTCAAAATTAACTCCGGGAGCACATGGTTTCACTAGTGATTATATATGGCAAATATATATGGATAAAAACAAGAAGAGTGGATACACTCCAGAATTCTTTTTCTGAGCCTAGAATTATTACCTTAATACAAAAATCTGATTCCAACAGTATGAGGAATATGAGACAATCCCAGTTGCAAATATAGATGAAGAAATAAATCCCCCATAAAAATGTCAGCAAAATTAGACCAAGCAAGATTGGCTTTATAAAAGTCTATCCATAAAATTCACCACAGTCACAGATATGATCAAAAAAGTATATGATCATCTCATTACAAAGTATTTGAGAAGATTATATATTCATGATTTTAAGAAATTCAGGAAACTCCAAAATCTGATTTAGGGTATTAGTGCATGCCTGAGAAGTACCTCAAAACCCCCAAACCTCCATGCTTTAAAGGATTCTGGCCATCCATGTGCACAAAAACAAAGGCAACTCTTAATATAAAAGAACTTTAATAGATTTAATATGCATGGAGAAAGAAGGAAGGGCATTAGTATCCCAATTACCTCACCTTGTGGGTAAAGGCCCAGCTAGGCTGAGTGGCTCCTAGTGTTAGAGGGCACCCCAGTGTGAACTGGGCCGCCTGTCTGTGGGGCCTCACCCGCGTGCTTAAAATTCAGTTGTACTGCAGGTGCACATAAAAGGGTCAAAGTGGGTTTATTTACAAAAAGGGAAAAGAAAAGGAAACAACAACTGGAATATCTTACCGGCTCGGCTGACTTGGAGCTCTGGTGACAAACTAACTGAAAGCCCTGAGACACACATTCCAAGAGCTGTTTCCCGAGCGAGAGAGTGAGACGAAATGGCGCCCTATTTATACCCCAAAGTCCCAGAATTCCTGCTTAGCTCTGCCCTTGGGTCCTCGCAGTTTTCTTCCTGGTACTGCTGGGAGTTGTAGTTTTCAATCACTGGAATAGGGAGTAGAGTCCAGAAAGTCGGAGTAGGGGGTGGAATCCAGAAGACTGCAGAGTTCTTTTAGGACATCCTTCCCCTTAACAGTAGCAGGGCTGCTGTGGCCTAAAATCTTGCCACCAACCTAAGGCACCTTTTTTGACATGGGACCACAGGAAAGGGGTTCTGAAGTAGTTCCCACAAAGCTGAGACAGAAGTAGCAGAATCAAAATACAAATCAAGATAATAGCTGCCACTGCCATCCTTTCCACCCATGTGTCTCCTTTAAGTCTCGCAAGTTGCTGGGGCAAGTTCAAAGCTGAGAAACAAGTGCGCCCTTTTCCATGTGGCTCCTCTTGAGCTGATCTGCCTTCCATGGATTTAGTGATAGCTTCACCTGTTTGCTCAGCTACTCCAATTTTTAAGCGTAGTGGGGAACATAGCACCTCCCTCTTTTATGGGCCTGCCTCTGTTAAAATCATTTCTATAAACTCATATTTATAACAGTGAAGCATTTGTAAGAATCATTTCCATCTGATAGTCTTGAAAATCTTAGCCAGTATGGCAAGAAAATGAAATGAAATAACAAATGTAAAGATTAGAAAAGAAACAAAACATTGGATAATTGTACATAATACAATTGTCTACATTAATACAATTAGAAATAACCTACTGACAACTATAGAATAAAGATAATTTAGCAGTTACTGGATACCAACAACATCAAAAACAAAGAAATTATATATTAATATATTAGCAACAAATAGTTAAAAGAATTACATATTTTTAAATGTTAACATTCATAAGAATACTAAAATGCATAAATTACTTATAGATAAATATAACAAAAGTTACAACTACCCATTTTTTCCGACTATAATATTTTATTGGGAGACATTAAAAAGAAGAGCCAAACAAATGCAGAGATAGACCATGTGTATGCATTAAAAGCATAATAACCAAATTTTGACTTAAAGAATCTCAGCAATTTTAGTCAAAATCTCAGGTTATTTTTCCATGATATTTTTTTTTCAAATGCTTGTCAATGTGATGCTAAAATTTTTATGAAGCTTCTGAAGTCTGAAATATGCCAACACTGTTGAATACGAATTTGTTAAAAGGACTTGCTCTCCTAGAAAACAAGTCTAATAAGAAGTGTAACAATTGCAAAGAGATAGAGAGCCTACAAGTGACTAGAGCACACATATACCCTTGCTTTATAATAAATTTCCACTATAAAGTAATGGGGAAATGACAATAGTTTTAAAAATTCTTGTTGAAACAAGTGGGTATTCTATATGGAGTAAAGTTATAATGGCTTCTTTTCTCATATTATGAATAGAAGTCAATTCCAGGTATATCATAGATCTAAACATGAAAAGCAACCAATTTGGAAAGCAATTAGTGTTATCTAATCAAATTCACCCATCAATTCTGCATCTGTATCCTCTACAAAAATGTATTCCAGAATCTAGAAGTACTAGGATACTTTTCTTAAGTGTTTATTGAAACCGTTTTCATGATCAATAAACTGGAAACAACTCAATGTTGATGAAAAGTAATATGGATAAATAAAGTATTGATACATATTACTCCAACAGACTATAGTTATCAATAAATGAAGTACTGTACATGTAATACATGGAAGACTATAAAGACATACAAATAAAAGATGTCAAACAAGTCAGTCATACTATATATAAATTTAAAAACAGGCAATGATAAATTACATCAACAAACATTATCAAGTGCTAACAGAATTCTGGAGCAACCAGACTTTCATACATTGTTGGTGGGAACCACCTGGGAAAGTCTCTTTAGTAGTACATGTTAAAGACAAACATATATTATCCATCACTAAGAAAACCTGCTCATGACCACATACCCAACATAAATAAATATAGTATATTCAGCAAAACACAGTATAGTAATATTCATATTAGCACCCTTTATAGTAGAAAAAAAAGGGCAAGTATAGAAATGTCCATGAATAACAGAATAGATATGTAAACGTTTGACATAGTCAAACAATGGGATATAGTACAGCAAATGAAAATGAATCATCTACAAATATACTCAACATAATGAACCTCACAAATATTTAACAAAAGAAACCATAAACCAAACAGTACACACTGTATCATTCCAACAAAACAAAGTTCAGAAACAAGCAAAACTAATCTACTGTGTTAAAATTATGACCTTTGATAGCAGATAGTGACTCTTATAAATGCACTTAGATGCTGGTAATTTTCACCCTCTAAAGCTGAACACTGAGTAAAAAATATGTTCAGTTTGTGAAAAGCCATTAAGCTATATATATGTACCTCCATTTTTCTGAATGCGTATTTTATCTCAATATAAATTATAAGTTGTTTAGGTATGCATAATTAATAAAATTATAAAAAGAAAAAAATGATTATTGAAAATATCATTATGATTACCACGAGAGACGAAGGAAAGGCTATAATCCAAGAGGGGTCAAGGCCAGCATTGCCATCTGTGGAGGGGACCTACTATTCTGAAATTAATATCAATGTTTAGTTGTGACCATCAGCATATTTGCTTTATATAATATAATTATATGGTTTTGTGTTCATTATTTCTGTTTGTGTTAAACTTTATATGGAAAAAAATTAAGTTAGCCAAAATCAAATAAACCAAAACTATGTAATTAGTTGAAAATGTTTGTTAATAATGTAAATGAAAATTAGTTGATTTTTAAAAAATATTTGAGTGGCCCTCCCTGGTGGCGCAGCGGGTTAAAGCACTGCACTGAGAAGCTAAAGCCACTTCCGCATGAGTTCGATCCCCGCCTGCCCTGGAGGTGACCACATGGCGTGGCAGACCTCTCCTGACCCACTCGCTGCTCCCCTCAGCAGTGTACTTCGTCCATCTGCCTGTTCTGCTCCCCACTCTGTCTCTGGTGAAGCCTCTCACCGCCCCGAGCCTCTGGCCTGTACCCCAGTTCTGTATGCATAAATAAATAAATCTCTAAAAAAAAAAATTTGAGTAAAATTTTAAGCATACCAAAATCTTAATCTGGATAAATTCTGTTCTGCCTCTGAATTTTTCTCTCAATATATATTATTTGTATATAGATAATTCACTAATAAGGCTTTATATTAATATATTACTAGTTAAGAAATTTTTAAAACATAAAATCTTTTTAAAAATTGTTTTAATATATTCATTACATCATTCATTTTTTTAACAATGTGTGGGTTCTCTGTGAAATTCCAACTACAAGTTTACCCGTGCACCATCACTGTAGTCCCTTATGTTCTTCCCACTCCTGTTGTAGTCCTCCTTCTCCCCTACAGAAACATAAAATCTTTTTATAATTCAATTTTTTATATTCTAGAAACATTATATTATTTCTATTTTCTAGTATTTATTATTCTGAAACTCCACCTTTTTTTTTTTTTACATATTTCATTTGTATATTTTCTACAGGTGCTTGATGCACACGGAGTTGATGTTACTCCCCGACCTCTTTTCCATCCAGACCCATATAGTGGTACAGCAAAGCCAAACAAACTATTGACATCACAGGAAGGATCACTTGCATCAGATTTTATATCTTCCTATAGCCTTTATCAGAATACAGTAAATCCCAGTATAATAGGGCAGTTTACAAGGTAGAGTATACTGTTCTGTATTTCTTTATTTAATGTCGCATATATTGTCTTTTCATTTGTAGCATATATATAACTTAGATGTCAGTTATCTTTAGTCTCCCAATTAGTATATCGTGTCTATGTTCCTCTCATGTTAAATTAGATGCCGATCTTTATATGTCTTAAGAGTCCCCTACCTTTAAAACAGACACTTGTGAAAAATGTTTAATTATACTCAAGATTTACTGAGAAACTGAGAGATAAGAGCTAGTATATATCTCCAAACATATTTCTTCAGTTTCTTCTATGCTGCATTTTATCAAAAGGAATGTCTTTCCCCTCTACCCTCCCCATTCTCACAAGCAAATCCTGTTCTCCCTGAACATTGATGCAAATGAAATTTAAGTATTTATTAGGTACAAATTTATACAAATACTATGTCATTAATGTTTACAATAGAGAAGTTCAGAGATACGTGATAATAAAAATGTTCTAAAACAATCTAAAGATTATGGGATAATAGGTGCCTCCTTGGTGGCACAAAGGGTTATGCAGCACTATGAAGCTATCACCAGCCACTGCAGTACAAGTTCATTTCATCCCCAACCAGGGAGGTGACCCACATGCACAGCAGACCTCTTCTGTCTCTCCCACACTTCCCTTATCAGTGTATTTCAGTAGATCCACCTGTTCTGCTCTCTACTCTGTTTCTGGTGAATCCTCTCACCCCCTTTACCTCTGGCCTATACCCTAGCTTTTGTATGCATAAGTGAATATTTTTTTAATAAAGATTATGGGGAAATATTTGAATCTATAAATTTCAGTCTCACAAATTAAAAATTTCAGATGTTAATTCAGTACAAGATTTGGGAGAAAATGTGTTGTTCTAGAGTCTACCTGCAAATTTGCAATAGAAACCTTAGGAGTGTTTTGCCAAGGAAAGAATGTTCTAACAAATTGTGCCCACCCTTTGGAGAGTAGGGGAAAGGTCTTGAATATCATAGACAATGTTAAGTTGAAATGTTTAAGCAAATTATTTTTGTATTATTCAATGTATTGATTTTCTACTGCCTGCACAGATTTCTTTTAATTAAATATTAAACACACCTTTGTAATAGAGTTTAATAAATTGCATTAAGATGACATTTGATGGTGAACAGAAACTTGGTGAAAATGAAAGTGTGTTCCAGGTTATGATCTTGAAGTAGGAGAGCTCCACAGGATTGAGGCATTTAAAAAAAAAAAGTGAGGTGGGGGAGGGAAGAGGAATAATGAAAATAGAGAATCAAGGTAGGTAACTTGAATTCTGTTTTGTTTTTTTTTTTACCTTAAAATGTTTGGGATTCTAAAGAGGGACTTTAGGTTGAGTTTTAACATAGCTTACATGTAAATATATAATATATATTGAAAATGACTTAACAGAGAAAAATCAACTCAGAGCCCTCCTTGGTGGTGCCACAGGTGCTACACTAGCAAAGCTAGCTGCAGCTGCTTCAGTGTGAGTTTGATTCCTGGCCAAGGAGGAGACCCACATGGCAGGTGCAGCAGATCTCTCCTGTCTAGCCCACTGCTTTCCTCAGCAGTGTACTTTCTCGATCTTCCTGTTCTGATCCCCACTCTATGTCTGGTGAATCCGCTCACCACCACCCAACTTCTGGCCTGTACCCCAGTTCTATATGCATAAATAAATTAATCTTAAAAAAAAGAAAAACCAACTCAATGTTTATTTTTACACATTTTGTCTACATGAGCATAGTATATTAGATTTCTCAATCTTATAATGTTTTCATTTATATCTTACCCATTTATTATTAAAGGTCAATTTTAGGAAGCAGTACAATTTCTAAGTCAAGTGTATCCACTTCTGAGTCAATAGCAGAAGACCTAGAAGAACCATCCTATAAGCGTGAAAGATTGTCTAGTTTTGCAGGTAATGAAAGTAAAATTACCTATTACAATAAATACAAAATTATGCTATTTCTTTACTCTCCATGAGAATCACACCTAAACAGCTGTACTTCTACCACCTGGCTGCTCTTTTAGACTAGATTGGTTTTTCTTAATCTTGAATGCATATTCAAGATATAGAACATACTCTAGAAATCTTGCTTATGTAATTGAGGCTACCAGAGTGGGAGGAGAGAGAAGACTGGTGAGGGGGCACAATGAGCTATGGTGGTGGTGGATGTGGTGTGGTGACATGCATCTGAATGGGTATGACCCTAAGCCTTTGGGTCACATAGTATTGTAAACCAGTGTTAATTTATAACAAAAAGAATATGTCAGATATATATATATATATATCTATGATTAATCACACATCTCTCTATCTACAGCAGTGCAACACACACACCCCCTGTGATTCAAATGCATTTATATAATGTGTGTATAAATGTAACATACATGTGCTACATGTGTATATATCTATACATATACTTCATTATTTATTGAGCATTAGTTTACAAAGCTATATGTGATCTAGGGAAAGAGATTAACAAACCCTCTTATGTATGCACCACACTACATGTACCACCGAAGCACCCACAGTCCTTTACCATGGATCTTTGTGCCCCCTCTCCTCTTTATTCTCACTCCTACTCTCCCTCCCCTTCTAATAATCTGTTCTGCAGTCCTATTTCTAGGGTTTGTTTTGGTTTAGTTATGTCAGTTCCTCTGCTGTGTCCATTAAATTTGACTGAGGGTTAGAGAAATTTACAGACATTTGTACAGCTAAGATTGAAGTCCTACTTTCTGAAAATTAAGCAGTGGCTTTTTCTCCCTCTTTTGTTTTCTCCTTCACCATGCCACACTGCCTTTGGTGATGGCTTGTCAAGGGAAGATGGTTTAGGAAACATTAGAATGAATACTCTTTGGTGCTCAACTACCCAAGGTACTAAGTTTAAGATCTCATATTGATAGACAGTTGTCTTGGACTATCAGGCTCTTCTACATTAGCTTATACTCTCATGAAGATTTACTTCTACATTAGCTTATACTCTCATGAAGATCTATACTTTTAAATCCCTCTGAAACTAAATATTTTATCATTTTCTCAACAGAGTTGGCTTGTCTCTCATATTTTTCATGTATTTAGATGTACAGGTTGTGAGGGCAACACCTGGAAAAATTGTAACAAAAGAGGACCTGGAGAAGACTATAGAGATAATCCTCACAGAAACAGAAACACTGAACATTTTTGATTTACCAACTGTCATGGTTTCTGTAGAGTCTGAAGAAGCTATAAAAGTAAAGTATGTAATCGATTATTAACATTGCTTCTCTAATTGAAATGCTAAGTCAGATGTTGTTATCCTTTTCCCTGCTTGGAGATTCCTGATATACACTGTTGGTATATGTTCCTAGTGAAACTACATTTAAAGTTATAATTTGTCCTGTGAAATTTTATGTTAAGTGGTTATGTTATATGTAACTTTTCTACAGGAAGAGTCTGTCATTTTTACCGTAGTCTTTCAAAAGTAGGTGAACTCCTTGGTCATATAATAAAGAAAGAAAGGAAGATTTGAATTTTCAGTATGGGCTTTAATTATTTATATTTTATGCAGAGGGATTTAAAAGTATACATTTATGCATATATAAGTATATATTTCTTTATGCACATATATTTATCTCTGATAATTTTCCTTGTTCTGAAGTCTTTGTCTGAAATTAACATAGCTATTATGAATAGATTATAATACAATTATTTAATAATCGAGTTTCCAATATTTTTTGAATATGATTCTTTGTACTATAAACTCCATCACTAAAATAATTTTTAGAGTGATGTTCTTACCAAAGTAAAATACTGTGGAATTATTTGGAGTATAATATGAAATACAATCAGATCCTGAATAATATACTTTTTAAAGCTCATAAGACATAAGAGAAAGCTCCAGGAACAAAAAAAAGAATAAAGGAAAGGAACAAACAAAAAAAGCATTTTTAAGTGGCCTAAGATCATAGAGAGAAAGATGATGGAAACAAATATTAATAGTAGTACTGGGTCTGCATATCACAAGTATTCCTAGGTGCCTACCAAATTTAGAGAGCCAAGAGAGAGATTCTTGTATTAAGTCACGTCCTTTGGAAGCATCTCCATCACAACCACAAACACTAATCTTCTTTGAAAGAATATTTTAGGATTTCCTCAGATTGAGTTTGTTAAAAACATACCAGAACAAAACAAACTATTATGAATGAGAACTACAAAAGATTACAAAAATAGAGCTAGATCCTGAGCACTATGGATAATGATATTATTAGACATGGAATATAAAATGTGTATGAAATATTTAAGTGAAAGTGAAAAACCATTATTAAGAAGCTATTGAAATGATGAATCATGCATAGAAAGATACCTAAAAAGAACTTTAAGGTTATGCTTATATGCTTAAATAATTGTTGGTATTTAAAAACAAACATCAAATTTAAATAAGACAATTGAATAGAAACTTAGTATATTGCGAAAAGATATGGATAACAAAATAAAGCTTAGAGCAAATAGAATTTAAAGTACAAAAGAGAAGCTAAAATAGATACTGACAATAGAATAAAGGTCTAACATCTAATCTGTACCAAAAGTGCAGAATGAACAGACTGGAAGGGAGGTATCACTCAAAAGAGAGTGGGTAAGGGCTTTCCAAACTTCTGAACATTAGAAGTAGGAACAAGCAGAAAGAAAGCCACAAAAAATAAATGAACTTAGTACACTGTATTCTGATACTCCAGAATACCAACAGTACAAAAACACCTTAGAGAAGAAAAGAGATGGAAAAAAATACCACCTGCAGAAAAAAATAAAACCATTAACATCATTAGAGGTAAAGTAAGTCACTTCTAAATGATAGGAAGTTATAGAAATTCTAACTCTGAATACTCTTAAGGAAATGACTACAAAATATCTGAAGTAATTAGAAGTTTGTTAATTGTTCTTTTTAAAAGAGTTCAGCATCCCTCCCAATTATTAATAAGTCAACAAGATGAAAAAAATTAGTATAAATACAGAAAATTTGCACAAAAACAATGGTCCTACATACAGCTGCACTCAAGGAGAGAACATACAGTCTTTTCAAGCACATATGGTGTATTTGTAAATGTTATGCATGAAAAAGTTAATGAAACAGTGTTTCGAATATCTTAAAAGAAGTGGATGATAAAGCTAAATTTTCTGACCTCATGAAATGAAATTAAAAATCAATTACATAATTCTCAACTAACACATAGACACACATTCACATACACATTTGGAAATTAAAAGACCTATTTCTAAATTTCTAAAGCGTGAAAGTAGAAATCTTATGGAAATGCTCAGTATTAAATAATTACTAAAATAATCCACACAAAAATAGTATACAAAATTGACACAAAAGTAGTGCTCTGAGGAATGTTTATGATTTTCAGTATTTATATCAAGTTCATAAAACATGAGGGAAAAGTGCTATTATATTGCTGTTAGATACTGAAAGTAGTAGTCAAATTGAGAGGTATAGTATTAAAGAGCCCTGTGAAGATAATTTAATGTAGTCTTTTCCCCATAACTTTCACTTCATTTTTTGGGACATATATATTGAAGGTAAGGTTAAGAAAAAACATAGAGAAGTTTGATATTAATTTTTGAATTAGTTGAATATACTTTATTTTTTATAGCAATAGAAACAAGAATTATGAAACCCTCTGTAAAAACAGAATAGGCAATGACTTATATGTTGAAAGGATGATGCAGACTATTAATGGAGCACCAAAGAATAAAGATGTTCAATGTGACAGAATCATAAAAGAAGACAAAGGTAACTTAAGTTTCATTCTGCTTGATAAGCTACCATATTATAATATATATTTTCTGAGTCTCTGAATTAAAAATAATTTTTGAAGGCCTCCCTGGTGGCACAGGGGTTAAAGTCTTAGTGCTGTGAAGTTATCACCAGCAGCTATGGCATGAATTTGAGCCCCACCCAGAGAAGCCCCACCCATGTGGCACAGCAGGCCTCTCCTGTCTCACCTGATGCTCCCTTCAGTATTTCAGTCATTTTGCCTGTTCTGCTCTAGGCACTGCCTCTGGTGAATCCTCTCACCCCTTGCACCTCTGGCCTGTACCCCACTTCTTGTATGCATAAATAAATAAAAACAAATCTTAACATAAATAAACATTGAAATATCTAAGGCAATAATGGAAATAAGTTTGTCAAATCAAATCACAATAGTAGTTGGGAAATGTATCTATAGCTTTCAAAATTTTCAAATAATTTGGCAAGTATTAAATACAGATATAAGATTTAAATAATTATCACTCCTGATCTTTATACAAACTAGCAGAACTTCACACTATTCAAATATTTTTGAAACACTTACAGAAAGTGATTATTTACTATGTCACAGAGATATCAACTACAACTAATACTTAAACTGTGGCAGACACTATTCTAGTCCTTTCACATACATTAATTGGTTTAATTCTCACAACAACCCAATGAATTAGTTATTACTACTCCCTATTTCACAGCAGAGAGGACAATAAAAAATTAGCTGACCACCCATTATCACTCAGCTAGCACTGCAGACAATGATATCCCCAGAGGTCTGGTTCTAGAGTGTGTGCTTTTAACTACTATACTTACTATCTTTCAGTGCTTATAAATGAACAGCCCCAAGAACACTGCACCACCAAATATCTGTGATGTGTGGCCAGAGTGGTAATTAGACATAAGGTTATAATCCTAATAGCCTTCATTACTCAGCAAAACTATAAGCTACTTCTTTTAAAAGATTAAAATAGACAAACATCTAAGCAAGTGCCAAATTAAGAAAAGGGCACCTTATACTTAATAAGTACTTTGTATTTTGCTTGGTTCTTTCCCACTCCCCTCTGCAGCTTGGTGGGTCTCAAAGTTAGCAGTTTGCCTTCCCAGTGTGAGACCCTGGTCCGTGTTTCAGAGGAACTAGTCTTTATTTTCAAAGAATGTGGTTTGTTTTAACCTCTCTGAGGTTTACCTGAAAGATGAACACAAAGCACTTGTCTTTTTTTTTTTTTTTTTTGCCTAACTCAGAACTCCTAAAACTGCTATACACATTATGTTCTTCAAAAACATCATACAGGCCCCTCCCTGGTGGCACAGCGGGTTAAAGCACAGCACTAAGAAGCTAAAGCCACTTCTGCATGAGTTGGATTCCCGCCTGCCCGGGAGGTGACCACATGGTGTGGCAGACCTCTCCTGACCTGCCTGCTGCTCCCCTTGGCAGTGTACTTAGTCGATCTTAGTCGTTCTGCTCCCCACTCTGTCTCTGGTGAAGCCTCTGGCCGCCCCTGAGCCTCTGGCCTGTATCCCAGTTCTGTATGCACAAATAAATAAATCTTAAAACAAAAACAAAAACAAAAACAAAAACATCGTACAATCCATTGCTACCATTGCTACCTGAAGCAAGAGATTACAATTGAGTAAAAAAGAGTCACACTAAAAATCTGGAAGAAAAAGCTGGGGAGAAAGTTTCTTTGAGAAATAAAGGAATTGAAAAAGCCTTGCATATTTAGGAAGTTGTGCACATGCCTAGAGCAGGATGCATGTTTGAAAAAGACCTGAAAAAATCATTATCTTTTACCTTTTGATGATCTGTAGACTCAATAGAAGCAGACAGTGTATGGTATAAATATAAATAACCTGGCTAAGCATGTAAGGCATATCCTAACACAGAATCATTCTGGGAGGTTTTTTTCTTTAAAGTTGTTTTTTCTTTAAAGTTGTTCCCTCTTCACCCCAGTGAGACAACACATGACAAATAATACAGACTTTACAAAAATACTTTAGAATAATCACAAGCAACTATTGCCACAAACTATAGAAAACAAACCTTGAGAAGCAAGAAGGTTTTGGTCTCCATGGCTATCACATTTTATATTCAACAAAATATTTCAACAAAACTTTACTGATACCAAATAATAATAATAATAATAATAAACAAGGGAGTAAGACTCATTCAAAGAAGAAATTGACAGAAACTCCCTGAAAAAGTATTAATATTGGACATACTTGACAACGGTTTTAAATCAATTGTATAAAATATGCTCAGAAAGAGAAAAATCATGGATAAAGAGCTAAAGTACACCAAATAATGACATTTGAACAAAGAAAGAATATCAATAAAGAGAAATTATAAAAAGGTAACAAACATTGTTGGGAGGTCATCAAGTTCATATAGTCTAACTACATCATGTTCAGTCTCTTAAGCCTATTAGAGGCATTCTTCACTTCTATTGTAGTATTGTTTTATCTCTAGTATTTCTATTTAGTCCTTGCTTAGGACTTTTCACCTCTCTACTTACATTGCTCATCTGTTGTCTACTGTATCCATTAGAACCTTGCACATATTAATTCCTAGCTTTCAATTCCTAGTCATAATTCCAATACCCTTGCCATATCTAGTTCTAATGCTTGCTATGTCTCTCCAAGTTGTGTATTCTGTCTTTGAGTATTCCTTTTAATTTTCTGACAAATAGAATTGCTATAAGTAGTCCTTCAATAATATACGAGTAAGGTCAGAGGAGGCAAGTTTTCAGTGATTCCTTGAGTATATTTTAGTGGGTTTATGCCTCTGAAGTGTGATCTTTTAATTTCCACTGGTTAACTAGTTTTGTTTTGTTTTGTTTTTT